CATTAATTTTTAAACACAATCGTTTTCTACCCAGCTGAAATCTGGTTTCGTGTACTGTAAATTTGTAATAGAAACTTTGACTGATTACCTTTTGAAAAAAATCAGCAAATTGCAATAAAAGGGAAAGAAAAGGACCAGGAAAAATAAACGTTGCGAAAATGTGACGCTGAGAACAACTGCAAATGCAAGAGCAATATCGTTGATATGTTATGCTTCAGTGCAGAATAGTCTTAAATAAAACCACGACGTTTGACAGCCTTACTTCTGTAACAGATCCGAAATTGACCTCTGTTGAACTGATTTTTACTTGATAAAATTATTCTGTTTTTCTGTTCGTTAAGTTTTAATTGAAGAAGAAATGGAAGAAGTAACTGAAAAAAAAAGCGACATTTTACAGCCAGTCAACAGCGGTGATTGAGAAAACAGCCGAGTATCGTTCATGAAATTTGATTTTCTCAATGGTCCTAATTCAGTTGATTTGTTGCTGCGGCTAGATTCTGATATAAACGGCAATGAATTAGTTTTCTTTTTTTGGTCTTTTTTTCTACTTCTAAAGAAATTTTTTGACTTGCTAAAACGTTTTTTGAACAACTGGTTAATGACGTCTAGATTCTTTGTAAAAAAAAAATTTTTTTTTCTTTTGAAATAGTATTACTGCTTATAAATAAATAACATGTTTGTTAAATAACATATTTGTTGTTAGTAGTATTCAAAGAGGAACTAGCGGGAGAAAAGTTCAAACTTTTAATACTACTAACAACAAATATTTTGTCGAAATTTTTAGTTTACAAATGGAATATAAAGAAACAAAGTTGTTAAATTTTACGGATGGTTTAACTTTATGAAAACAGTGGTTAGTCAACTTTTTTGATGATCTGCTTTCCCTATCATATACTAAACTTATGGCATTAATTGTCAACACCACTAAGAACTTAATTCTAAACAGGAAGATGCGAAAATAGCAAAGCTTTCATTATAACTGTGCTCACTTTTAAGAACAATATTTTTCTACAGTTGATTTTGGTTTATTCCAGTTAGGCGAGTATAAAGGCAACAAGTTTAGGGGTGTTTTTGTGGTAAAAAAGTAGAAAAAGTAAAATAAAATACAATAAGCCAATGTATTCTGCTATGGCTCTTTTCTCTCCATTTGCCTGTTTTTTCGAGGTGTTTTGAAAGTTTTAACAAACACATTATTAGTATAGTAACTGCTCAAAAGAGTATAACGTCAGTATTTTGACTAAATTTTGTTGGATTTGAAACGAGTAATTTTTTTTTCTTCTTTTCTTTTTTTTTTTTTTTTTTTT